TGCACCCATTTGTCTTCAGTGATCCGTTCGACACCTCGTGATCACACAGGTTAATATGTTGTTCCATGTGGGCTTTGTTGCTTCTGAGCTAGATGATTTTCAGAATTCTTGGAGGAAACATTCACTTGTTTTCATCATCTCCAAGTTTTTGGATGATGCTTGGATTCCCAGGAAGTATATGAATTGAGGGAGAAAATGAGATTCAGATTGTCTTTTAAAAATTATCTTATTATTGTTGTTGAAAATATGCACAACAAAACATGGACTTATCCAACAATCTCTACATGTACCACCCAGGGACACTGACCACCGTTTTCGAATGTCCACCTTTCTCATGCTCCTCTGCGGGAAGCGTTTTCCCGCGGTTAATGTCAGTGCGCTGTCCCTAGGTTTTCCGTCTATGCTTCCACTTGCTGTGTGATCAAGTTGACCCTAAATAGATAATTCCTAAAAAGACCATAATTGCTTAAGGCAGGCATGTTTTACTAATGACTCTAACCTATCACTTGGCTTAAACAAATACTTTAGGCAGAGTGGATTTTTTATATTGTTGAGGAGATTCAGTGGGAGAGACCAAAAAGGGCCCACAATCTTCCTGGAGCTTGTGGAAATGAACATTTGATATGTCTTTGTGGCATAGTAGTGACCCTTTGGACTGCTAACCCTAAGGTCAGCAGTTCAAAACCACCAGCTCCTCATCAGAGTATGACAAGGCTTTCTACTCCTGTGAAGAGTTACCAATGAGGGCAGCCCTGCCCGGTCCTAGAGGGTCACTGTGAGCGGGAAGTGACTCCCTAGTAGTGAACTGTGGAGTGGGGTTTGTTCACCAACTAGCCAATGTGGTGCTTTTGTATCTTATATGAATTATTGTACACAATACCTTTTGTGATAGGACGATGTGCTCATTTTTAAAATAAAGAAGTTAAGGATCAATGTGTTTGGGTCACTTACGATTTTATAGCTATCAATTGCTTGTGGATTTCTAACCTAGGTATGTTGACACTAGTTACAGTCCTTTTCCCCCCCACTTGCATATTCTGGAGGAGCCCTGGTGGCATAGTGGTTACGGGTGGGTTGGGCTGCTCACCTAAAGGTGAATAGTTTAAAACCACCAGCTGCCCTGAGGAAAAAGATGACCTTTTCTGCTCCCTAGAAGAGCTACACTCTCAGAAACCCACAGAGGCAGTTCTGCCCTGGCTTTGAGTCAGCATAGACTTGATGGCATTGAGTTTTGTGCCTTTCCGCACTGGCATTTGTTCCTGAATTGTTAGGAAACAGGTCACCTGATTTGAAGGACTTTAAAAAAAAGATGATGGATGTGCAGATGTTGATCTATTAACTTCCACTGTCTTGCTGAGAGTTCTGTATATAACTAAGTCACACGTGGTAAGATTACTGGTTTTACAGAACTTGGGCAGATTCTGGTCACAAATGCAAACAAGCCCATGTGGAAATTGATGCTATCTTCTTAGATTTACTCACATGAAGTTCTCATTAAGGCAAACGTGGAAGACAACCAAATTTAAAGGGCTAATGGATAAAGAGGGAAAGAAATGTTGAGTTAGAATAATTCTTTAAAACTAATATGAAATTTCAAAAGTAATTCCAAAAGTGAAATACTAATTTGTTATGTCTTCTGGTTGCTACCAGGATATCAGTTTAATGTTTTTTTAATATGAATGATGCTATTTTTTATTTTGATGCTATATTTTATTTTTTAACACTATCAACTTAGTCCAATCCAGGCTGTATTCTTTTTTAAATCGTTTTATTAGGGGCTCATACAAGACACCAGCTTAATGTTAATCCTTTAATAATTCACTGTAGAATCTGTGCATTTGTATAACAAATTCAAGATTTCCAGCAATGATAATTTAAAAAAGACTTTAGGGAATATTTTTGGTTTAAGATTTAAAGACAACCGTAAGACGATAATTTTGAGGACCCATCCAAGAAAGCATGGATTCCATGAGAATTTGAAATTCTGTTCCACAGCCCCTCCCTTTGGTCAACATTCTTCTATAAGAGTTTCTGATTTCCAAAAATAAGAGTTTCTGATTTCTATTTGAATTATTCAATTATTTCTAGTAAATGATTTCATTGTCTAGTTATTCTACTGACTTAACAGTGGAAGAACAGTTTTCACTTTAGGCGAAGATTATTCACAACATTCACAAAAGGAAACGTGAAGGTAGGTTACATTTTCCCAGCTGTATGAGTCAGGATAGGCTGAGTTCGAGTGTAGTAACAACCACCACAAAATGTCTGCGGCTTAAAGTAACAAAGAGCCATTTCCCACTCATGCTCAATGGCCACTATGGCTTGAAGGGATCTCATTCGACATTACCTTGGCAAGGAGTGGCAGGCTGGTGGACCTTTCCTTTGGGGTCACTGGCAGATGTGGCACAACAGCGAGGAGGATTTGGTGAATTGTACTCTGGCCCTCAAAACTTCTGTCAGTAAGTGACGCTTGTCACTCCTGTTAACTCTACATTTGCCAAAGCAAGTGACAAGATCACATCTAAATGCAGAGGGGTCAGCAGTATTCAATCTTACTCTGTGACCAGAAGGAGAAAAATCAGAATTTTTTGTGAACATCTTTAAAGGCAACCACACTAGGATTTTAAAAAGGAAAAGAAAGCAGACCAGAGCCTAACATTGTTGAGAAGTGAATTTCTTACACCAGCAATATAAATGAAACCCCTAATCAGAGACAGTGCAAGACCTGTCAGTTATACAAGAAAATCTTTTAACTCTGTAGCATAAACATCTTTTATTCTGTAGCAGGGAAACGTTTCCTGAGATCCATTTCTTCATCTCCAGACAAGAATATTACACGAAATGGGAAGGAGCAAGCAGTGCCAAGTGGACATTGTTGGCAAGAAGGGGAAGTTTCTAGAAATGGATGACGGGCTACCTAGAGGAGGAAGTGTGTTGATGCCTTCCGTGGATTTTACTAGGAGCCTCATTTCTCTCAGGAGAAGTAGCTTGTTATTGACGTAATTATGCAAGCCAATGCCTGATCATGTCGAAATGTTATTTTCACCTCAAATGCTAATATTTGGACTTCTTTTAATAGGTCATTCGAGAAAGACACTTATTCTTTAAAACAGCCCTTTTTGGAGGAACTGCCTGAAGGTGTGGAGTATGTTTGAGCGGCCTTCATTTGAGTACAATTACTTGTTCAGATGCATATTTTAAAACTTTTAGTGCATTCGTAGTAAAGTTTTTGTCAAGTGGAAGAAAAAAAAAAAAACTTCAACTAGCTCAGAATCTCCCCTAAATTAAAAAAGTAGAGATTTTGTACTTTCTAGAATAATAAACACTTTTATTTTTATAGTCTGTCTTAAAGTCTTTGTAAAAAATCTACAAAGCAGAAGAAAGGACGAGAGTAAAAGTCTGCTGATTTACTGTTTAATTACATCTCTCCCCTCAGTCCCTTAATTTTTATAACAAAGCAAGGTTAGCATTAACACCCCAACCACAATAAACTAGACATATTTTATCACATAGTTTATGTCTAAGGAAAATGAAGATATAATAGTGAGATAATTTCATACAGCAGTATGGTGAAATTTATATGACAAGGGGTGAATCAATTCGGTCTTTTGAAGTTTAGTTTTTAAAGCTATCATGAACAATTACACGATGTTATATACTATATTATATATAGCACTCTATCAAATACTTCAATTTCCCTCCCTTATTTATTCCCCAGGAGAAGGAGTGGGTTTTCCACTGGCAGCAGTTACTGTCTGGGGAACTCGCAAGGACAGCTCGACCCTGTCTCACAGGGTGGCTCTGAGTTGGCATCAACCCAACGGCAGTGAATTTTGTGTTTTATTTAATCCTCATAGGGGACCTACTTTTACATGGGTGAAAGTGAGGATTGAAGAGGTTAAATGACTTGATCAAGGCCATCTAGCCAGTTAGCAGTGAAATCATTTTGGGGGCTAAAATACTCTGGTGACATTTCATCAAAATATCTGATAATTGCATGTTTTTCTAGCTCCGTGTTCTTGGAGCAGAAGGGCTTTGAATTGGACACTTTCATTCATTTCTGAGCACATGGATGCCCATTCTCTGGGTGTAGACTGGAGGGTCCAGGCTCTCCAACGAGACCTTGAACAAAAGACTTTTTCTCTTGAGGGCCAGTTGCTTAATCTGCAAAATTAAAAAAATTTTGGTTGTTTGGCTGGGAAAACAGGATGCGAGAATGTAAGGTATGTCCTTAGCACACAGGACATTGCATAAGATGCTCCATAGGATATATCCAATAAATAATAGGTCGCCCTATTGCTAGGATAGCAGCAACTACCATCATGGAGGTACCTGTCTATGGAAGTGGGAGGAGGAAAGACGTGTAAACGGTGGCTTCCGCTCCAGTGCTACGCGAACGGTTAGGGGACACGAGGAAAAGCAGGAGGGATTCTGGGTGGTTGGGGCAAATTTCACAAAGAAGGTGCCCTTTGAGGTCCTGGTCACCTGTGAGGACGGCACAGGACCGGGCAGTGTTTTTAGTTCGGCTGTAGGAAACGTAGGTTCCCTGTGAATCAGAACCGACTCGATGGCACCTAACAACCAAAGTTGCGGCGGAAGGGAATTTTGCAGCATGGGAGAGAAGAATGTGGAGAGGGAATGGAGAACCAGTAGTCAAAACTTGGGGCCCTCCGGTGCCAGAAAAGCCCCACCCTCGGCGGCCGGGGAAACGCGCCGCCGGGTCGCGAGGTGGCGCTGTGGCTCTACGAAAGCGGGAGACCTGGGCGCGCGGGTTGCCCGCTTGCGCGGTGCGGCCTCGGCGAGGCGACAGGGCCCTCTCGGTGGGGTTGGCACTGTTCATACCGCAGCCCCGAAATGGGGACGGGCATACAGGCCCAATTTAAAAATAAATAAGGGAGCAGTCTGGCAGCGGACCGAGGGCACCGAGCGTCGGAGACTGCCCGGGAGGTACAATTGGGACGCGGAACTGTCCAGCAGGGACCTAACCCTCCGCCAGTTTGGTCCAGCCACCGGAGCGGAGCCGGCCCCGCTGCGCCCGGGCGCCGCCCTGCTCACGCCGGAGCCCGGCCTGTGAAGTTTGTCTGCCCTGGGGCGCTCGCATCCGGCCTAATCCTTTTTCCAAACTGAGGGGAGACGTCTGGGACGTCTTTGCTGGCTTTCACGCGCGCCCGTGTGCACACGACCCACACGTGCTCCCAGACGCACAGCCAAGTACACTCACACACACGCACGCACGGCAGCACGCCTATACTTGACACATGCACACACCCAACGTACACACATGCCCACTGTACTGACTCAGTGTGCACACGCGACCGTACGTGTACCCAGGGGCCCACTCACTTCCCCGCACACCCACGCACCGACAGGCACGCTCACTCCTGCAGGCATGTTTGCACACTGAATCACAAGGCCGCGCATCGAGGAACGTGCGCACACCTCCCCCTCCCCGCCCCCTTCACCTGCACCCTACCCCAAACAGCTTCTGGACCGTTTTCGCCTCCCCGCACCTCAAGTTGGTCTTCAAAACTCTCCCCGCCTGCTCTACCCGTGCCGTTTTGCAGACTTACTCCTTCACCCGCCCCGCCCGGCTGACCTCTCATCTCTGCAGGCCTCACTTTCTTCCATCAGCATTCGCACAGCATTCGCACTACCGCAGACAGACGGATTTCCAACCTCCGCGGAGCTCCTTTTGGGGAATAGAGGTCGGGACGAGAAGGAGCCTTGCCCCGTAGATCCCAGCCCCGCGGGGCCTGGTGGCTGGAGGCCAGCGGTGGAGCTGTGGTCGCGGCCCAGGGCGGCTTTGGATTCGGGGATGGGGCACTGTCCGGGCTGGCTTCTTAGGCTTGGTTGAACTTGAGCTTTCAACTACTTAAGGTTAAGTCAAGCCAGCCGTCTTTCCCCCGTGTTTGCCCGCCGACGGGCGTCGCAGCCACCCGGCAAATGCCCGGGTTTGCCGTGTTTCGGTTAGGCGAAATTGCCTGCTGGGAGCGCTGAGACAGCAGCCAGGGTTGGGTCCAGAAAAGAGACGAGATCGACTCACACGTGCGGCAGAGCCAGGGTTGGCGTGGCACGTCCCGGGCTGCTTCGGACTGCATGGATGCGAATGTTGCCTGTGCAAAAGTTAGCACTTCACAGAACCTTGCCACCCCTTCCTCTTTGTCCGGAACTCTCACTCCATTCTCCCCAGGGGAACCTCACCCCAACTCACCCCCTCGCTGCTGGAGCTTGGACCTGCGCCGTGCTAGCTGGGTGGTTTGGCTTTAAAGTTAAGAGGCAGCCTCATGGGTTCAACTTCCATCTGGGCGCCTTTCTCAGCAGGGTGGCGGTGGTTTCACTAGGCTCCCCAGCCTCAGTTTCCACGCCTGTGAAATGGGGCTGACTGTATCTGCCTCTTCAGTTGGCGATGGAAGTCCAGTGAACCCTTGCTCAGAAGGCTTCTACCAAAGACATCTGTTGTTACCTGGGGGTCGCCCCAGGGGAAGGCTGGTCCTGGGGAAGGTTGGTTTGAACCCTGACCCAGGCAAGGGTCCGAGGCCCACTCCGCACTCCCACGCCCAAGACAGGGCGCCCCCTTTTAGACTGCCCCTCTCTGCTTCCTGCCAGTCTTGGGGTGTCTTCCTCTCTCTCCCAATTTCATTTTCCCTCTGTTTGATGGGGGGGGGGAGAAGAAGGGCGCCCCTGGGGTGGGAAGTGTGCAGGAGACCAAGCGAGCAAAGGGGGTGGGGTGGGGTGGGTCCTTGGGAGGATTAGGGGTCCGAAAAGGGATCAGAGTCCGGATTTCCGGTGGAACCCGAGCTTTTGGCTCCCATGAGGTCCGAGGGCAGCGGGTGCAGATCCTGGAGGGGAAGGGTCAGGGCTTGGCGGGTGGGCGGGTGCCTGTCCTCAGTCACCCCCGCTGAGCCCAGCGCAGGCCCTCTCGTTCCCAGGGTCCCAGGCTACCCCCATTCCTCTTCCTCTCCTCCTCCCTGCGGCGCCCAGGTGGCGGCCCACCTCACGCCCGCCTCCAGGTCGGCGTCCCGGGAATGGGCTCTGAGGGGAGGCGTGCTGTGCCTGGGAGAGCCGTCGCCTGTCTTTGCCGGCCTTGTCTCCCACACTATCCCTCCGCCGGCTCCCTCGCACAACACAGGGAAGAGAAGGGGGCACTTTCCCCGGCCTAGGTCCTTCTAGTGGTGCGCCCTCACCAGCCGAACGCAGACTCAGAATTTTCTAGGGAATTCTGAAGGGAAAATTCTGGCCTCCTGGGGGCGGACGAACCGAGAAGATTCCCTCTTTTCCTGAGATGGTCGGGTTTGTCCTAGTTCAGATGAATTTATTTTGTTTAACCTGTTTTTTTTCTTTTCCTTTCTGTGGGTGGGGGTGGGGAAGCGGGTTATTTGCCACCTGCGGCCCTGGAAGTTATTGTGGTGAGAAATGCCCGTTAGCAAAGATAATTGTTTTTCATTTGCCTCCAGAATGTTGGGATTACCAAGAGTGGGAAGTTTTCAAAGCTGGGATGGGGTGGGGCTCACTGGGGCTTAGCTCACCAGGGGATCTTGGGGTTGGCTCACCCCATCTGTCTGGGGCGGTTGAGGGATGTCCGACTCTCACCCCGCCCCGCTTCCCCCACCCTGCTGAAGGAACCGGAGCCGATTAGCACTGAGGCTGGACTCCAAGGGACAAACCGAGTCTTTTCAATTGCCCCTCCACATAGGACCACATGACGCTGGCTGTTTGTGTTCCCCACACTCAGTTATTTTTTCTTCTCCTTTTCCTATCCTTCCCCCCCCTCCCCTCCATCCTTCTTCCCTGGCTTCATTCTTCCTCTAAGATAGGATGCATATCCCAAGCCAGAAATTTCCTAATAGACTTAAAATACCGCTTCCCAGGAACCAACAGGAGATGCTATGATTTTGCAGGTCTAGACAAAGCCTTGAACTCTGAGTTTCTAACAAGAACCTGTACCCCCCATCCCCCATTAGGTGAGTGAGTCACGGTTGGAGGTTACTACTGTAAGGTACCCTAAAGGAGTATCACAGATAGGCTACAAAGGCTAGACAATGCTATACATATAGGGCTATCTATTCATAGGAGATGTGACAAGTATATAAAGAAAAAAAGATGAAGCCAGTCTCAGCGCTCACTTTCCAGACACCCTGCCATGCACATGCTCTGCCTTCTGAAGGTGGTCCTCATCTCCTGTGAGGGGAAGATGTCCAAGGGATTCTTTTGCAAAGTTTAAAATAGGAATAGTTTGTACAATGTTTACCAAGGAATTCTACCAAAACAACAGCAACAGCCCCCACCCCACCCCCACACTCTTTTGCTCTCCTGTCACTCCAGTTCTCTGTCACTCTGTCTCTTTTTCACCTCTTCAGTCTCCTTCCTTCCTTAAGCATTGATTACAGGGTAAGAAAGCCTGGTTGGAAGTACAAGGACACCCAGCGAGAAAAGCTCTGCATACACGGAAGTCCACTTTCCATCCAGGTGAGGCTGTCTGTTGACTCTATACGGACAAAGGGAATTAGTCCTGCCAAAAGATTCCCACTCCCTTGGCCTGACAGAGGTGGACGTTATCTTTGTCTTATTTCATTCCTAGGAAGACTGGCTCTGGAGCAGAAACTGGGCAGCTAAAGGGTTTTTGTTGTTGTTTGTTTGTTTTTTAACTCTTAGCTAATTTTTTTATTTGGCCAAGCAGCTTGAGGGGTCCCAACAAACACATCCTTTGCAGAATGCCTCCAGATTCCTGATGTTCAGAAATCTCTATTGTGTGTCCCTTGCTGATCACGGTTCTCAGAGTGGCTGCTTTTCCTGCCCCTGCCCCCCTGTGCCACCCTCCTTTGTCAGAGACCTGACTCTCACCATGTACTTGCCACCACTGGGTCTTTCTTCAGCAGACTCAACGTGGAGTACTGCAGACTGCCTGCTGGAGGACAGAATGAAGGCCCGGGCTGTTAGGGTCTTAAGCAAGGGCTTTCTGGTACCTACTGACAGGCTGGTAGCCACTGCTTCCTGGTCTCCCTTCCTTACAGGATCGAAAGGTCTAAACACTTTACGTTAGTAAGTTGGGAGCTTTAAGAACGTTTCTGTAGCCCCTCGTTCAATAATGTTTTAAAATTCTATGCACATGGCGTAGATCCTGTTGGTTGCCTCTTTTCCCTCTAAAACTGCAACCCTTTTAGTCTGTGAGATCATACTTCTCCTGAACATTTACTGCATGCCAAGAACTCTGACCAAGGCTTTAGGGGCCTTAAAAGAGACCAGGCTGATGTTGTCCCCCATCCCCCCACGCCTTCTAGATGGTGCTCAGCATGTAAGTGGCAAGATGAAGTGGCATGAGAGTTGGGCATGCCCTGTAAAGTCATGTTTGGGGACGGTAGCCATGCACCTCGGCCTGGAGCATATTCGTTCACACTGTTTAGGAATCAGGATGGGGCCCTCACTCTCCTGCTCTGCTAAGAGCATAAAGTACAACTTTTGCCTGTGTCCGTTCAACACGGGTCGGGCATGTGTACTTTTCTATCACTTAACCCATGAGTTTCCTAAATCAAAGGGCTGAGGAAGGCCTGCATTTCTGGCAGAGAATTACCCAGAAAGAGTCCTGAGCAGATTGAGCTGTAGTCAGGGAGGTTCTCTGAGGGCAGTGAAACAGTTCACCAAGTGTTTACTGGAGGCTACAACCTGCTTAAACAACAACAACAAATAAAATAAAACGATGGGGTACATTACCCAGAAACATCTATTTCCTTTGCTAGACACAAGCATTCATACAGAATGCTTTTTCTTCTTCCTCTTCTTCTTCTTCTTTTCTCTCTGTCTCTCT